GTGAACAAATAACACCGGAACTGAACTGAAACACAGCTACGCCGAAGAGAGTTCACTAAAAAACGAAAAAACGCAAGAAATGAAGAACCCATGCCCAAAATAAGGTCAATGAAGCGCTGCTTCGCTAAAGGTTTTCTATGCACCAATGCAAGTGACTTGCGTGACTTACAGGGTGACTTGCGTGATTTATAGGTCTAAAGCAGAAAAAAATTATGTCAGTTGGAATGTATTTAAGATATTTTGATTTGTAAAGACAAATGTTTATTTCTGCTGTTGAAAAAGAAACCCAATATTATTGAATGTATAATTATTTATTCCATTTTTTCCCTAGTCAATATAAGTAAGTATTTTTGTCTAAATTTCATTTCGTATTTAGTAATATTCTATACTAACCTATTTATTCTATTTATTCTGTTATATAAATACAACCTTCTACGGTTTTTTTCTACAAAAAAAATGAGAAGATTGACTAAAAAATTTGAATCAAGAAAACCATGCTAGAGTAATATGGATTGGATGACATTACCTATTTCCATTCTGCACTAAAGTCTAATAATATTGCTCGTACCAATAAAATTTTCTGATATTCCTTCGAAATTAAACGAAAGAATATTTTTTTTTGAAGTCACAAAATTGTTACAGATTCAAACTCTCTTATGACTTTGTAAATCAATGTAACTCTTTTAAGTTTCCTTTTTGCAAGAACGAGTATTGGGTCTTCTTATTTTTCAAATTTTATTAAAATTCAAAATATGCAGTTTCATTTCTAAAGTGTAGAACAATTGAAGAAACTGATTATACGGGTGGTAACAGTTTTCGGGACAAAAGGTATTTTTTTACAACTATACGAACATGTTATTATATGTATTTAATTGGACACAGTGACTTAGCCAGAAAGAACGAATAAAGTAGTTTTCTGTTTGAGTTCGCAAATTCTTTAAAATCGAAATAAATAAGTACCTGTTCTCGAAAATAATAAAAAAAGAAATTGATGTAATATATATAGTATAATGAAAATTATTAAGAAATTATATTAAATTTTTAATGGTCTTTTGAATAGCAAATATTATTACAAACAATATAATGTGATCAAATATATGAAACTGAAATTGATAGTAAGTATTTCTGAATGGTTTTGGTTCAGTGTTTAATTACTCTGAAAGCTGCGTAATTTCGAATGACATGAGTCAAGTTTTAATGCCTTCATTTTCAAATGCAAAAACTGAGTAAGGGCATAAAAAAATAATTATCATTATTATTACTTTCATACTTTTTGTTATGTTAGAAGCTTAAGGATTTCAAAAAAAAAAATTAAGCTCGAACTTTTGCGTACTATTAATTGCAGTTCGTTAAACGATTTCATACTTTCAGTAGAAAATGTTCTTCTTCGCGCTGTTTGGATCTAGTAGGATCCAATTTAGCATAACATGAGCAACATCATCATAACTCTTGCCTAAAGTATGACCCATTCCCACATACTACTGTTTTTCTTTCTCAGTATTAATGTTCTGCTAGTTGGTAACTCTCAGTGGATCTTCATTCGAAATTGTTCTGAGCCAGCATATTTAGAAAATATTTCGCAAATATATGTTTCTGAAGGATTGTAGTCCAAAAAAAGTACAAAAGTTGTAATAAACACACGAAATTTGCAATACTGTTGTGATACTCTATATAACTTACATTATCGTCAAAGCACGAAAGAGCTAATTTTGCCGTGCCCATGACACTCTACATAACATGGCCCTAAGTAATGTTCATAAAAAAATACCAAACACTAACAACTAAAACTAAAAATGTCACATATCCCATTTTCTTGAAACGGTGGGATACTCGTATGTGACAACATAGCAACAGTTCCCAATTTATCGGAATGTCTGTTACTACTTCCTAAAGAAATGTTTAAATATAGCTTATATTAAATTTTCATAAAAATAAGACAGTTCTGCATAGAATCCTCTAGATTCTAACTAAGACCGTGTGCGAGTTTAAGTAAATTGAGGTAAAGTAAATTGAAATTCCCTAGGGAGTTTTTGCACTGCACTTAAGTAAAAATTTATTTATTGCACTTATTTTTAATTTTTTTTTTAAGTTTTCAAATTTATTTATTTATTTATTAAACATCTTTTAAAACTTTCACAATGGCAACACTTAATTTACCTAATTTTTATCTAATTTACCCTACTCGACATTCTGGTAAATACCAACATTCGCTGCCATACCGATAATTTACTATTTCCCCCAATTTACTCGAAATCGCAAATGGCCTAAGTGTTGTATGTCAATCAAAATGTTCATCAAAGAGCGGTATATTCCTTCTAATAATCTATCGATATTATATCCCACGATTTTATTAGATTAATATGGTACATACTTAAATTATGTTAAAACTTTAATATTTATTATTATTATATTATATTATTTATAAAATAATTTGATAATTATATCTCCAAATATACACAGTATCTGTTTACAATTGTCTGACCCTGTATTTGCAATTTTATGCACATAAAAAATGTGTGTAATTGTGTTCAACATTCTTAATAGAAAACGGAAGTTTTATTGACAGGACATTTTTGGCTCTGTTCACATCATAGTTAAGCGCACTGCAACAAAAGTGCAATAAAGTGTGAGAAAAATAAAAAAAATTTCTAATTAAAAACTTTTCAATTTAATTAAAATCATATGCGCATCAAATGGATATTTAAGTTGAATTAAAATTAGAACATAAGTAAATGTGCATTTATTGGATTTGTTTGGTGCAATAAAAATTATGAATTTTTTGTGCGTTGCTCTCTTTGCTGCAGAATATAAAGTTTGTGGAACTTATGTCCACAATTTAAAACAACAACTATTAATCGCTCTCACTCCCAACAGAGCAAAAAAATATGATAACTACAAATGCAACTATTAGCTTCGTTTTGTGTACGTGTGTACGTGTGTACGTGTGTGGTGATGTGCTTGGTTAAAGCCAAAATAATGTTACTTTGGTTACTTGTTGTTTAGCCATTTCAGTTAATACGAAACCTTCGCGGCGTTAGCAACTCAACATAATCGAGGCGGTTAAAGCGAAGCACGAAGAGTTAACACATCGGATATTCTTCTATGTAAAACAAAAACAATTGCGGGTATTTTTGTGTTGTGGTTTTTTTACGAGACTAAAGCTTATTTATGAGTTGAAATGATAAAATTTTGTGATAGAATAAGTTAAGAAATGCATGTATCATACGCTTTACTACAAATACAAATACGTTTTGTTTTGTCAATAATTCTATGAGCACAAGAAAATCAAAAAAAAAAAATTTGTTTTATTAATAATTTCTGTAACGGAAATATTATAACTGCAAAAATCTAATTGGCGTAGACGAAGTGGTGGCAGTAGTGAATTGTTAACCAAAACAAGACTTCAATAAAAACAAAAACAAAACATTGGTTAAAATAACAACAACGACGACGACGCATCAGTGGCGGCAGTGTTACACTTTAATCAACAAACCGTGAAGTGAAATATACAAAAAAAAAGTAATTGTGATTTACCAAGTTTTTTATTTAAAGTTACTTAAATATTTTTAAATATTTTTACAAAAGCACATTTTTAACGGCTTTAGTGCTTGTATACACTCATATGTTAAAAATTCATAACAAAAATAGTTTTTTTTATTGAAAAAAGAAAAATAATATTTTTTTAATTTCATTGCTCTACTAACGGCACGTTACAGAGTTCAGCTTAGGTGTCGGTTAACAACATTTCAGCTTAGACAAAAAAACAAAAACAAAAACATAATCAAAATAAAAACGCAAACAAAAAAAAATTGGCTTAAAGGAAACTTTGAAGTGCAAACAAACTTGCTAAAACTTAACTGTAAGCTTTAAACTAACAACAACAACTACAACAAACAAACAATAACATAATAACAGCAGCAGCAGCAACAATAACAATAGCAATAACAATAACAAATTCAAAACAAAAAAATACATACATATGTTGAAATAATTTTTTAAATGAAACTTAAGTTTAAGGCAACTGACCAACTTCACTTCCCTTGCCCACCAAGTGCACAAGTATCAGTTTAGCAGCTAAAGTTGCTTCACTTTAACAACAACTAACAACTAACCAATCGTGCTTAAAAATTTCTACGTGACCTGTGCATTACCCCTTGCCATGCTTAAGCAGCTAAATCCGTATAAACAACGAAAACTGCAATAATAAGAACAACAACAAAAATAACAACAAAATTAAGAAGTATCATTTTACGTGTTCATTTATTACTTCTTACGTAGCTGCTAGCTGTTAGCTGCTAGGATTGCATTGCGCGCCCCTTTTCTGTTATATTCCCACTGTTAAAGTTGCTGTTGTATGTGGCCTTAACACAACTACTGCTGCTTTTAACTCTGTTTAATAAAGAAAACTTTACTTTATAAAATTTACATATACACGTACATACATACGAGTATAAAAGAAATATACATACATATGAAGAGTAGCCTTATGGTGTAATTTTTATAATTTCTGTGTGACTATATTGTAATTAACCGTACCATATACAATACACATACACATCCATATGCAGATATGCGGTACATAGTTTCTTTTTTTTTTTTAACATTTCTCATTGTATAATAAAAACAGAAACATTCCATAAGTGTAAATAACCCAGAGGAATTACTGTAATACATTAAAAAAATCATTAAAGAATTTAAGTGTAATACATACAAAAGTGGTGACGGTTTTCTGCTTAAAAAAAAACTACATACATATATATAAATTAAATTTAGAAAAAAACTAAATATGAATTATTTACGTAAAATTGATCTAAATATTGTGGAACGCTTCAATTGATAATCAAAATGTTTGCAATTCAAATGATAACAAAAAAACTTAAACTAAATGCATTTTCTCTCTTATGTTACCAATTCTAAATTGGTATTTAACTCGTTTGGTTCCATAATATATATCTTATAATAATATAAAAATCATCACATTTACATATATATATATATATATACGAATCAATCTATCAAGAGTATCTTAACTGCATTTGTGTATCTGTATTCTAACAATTGGCAAAAATGCATAAAATAAAATTTAATTCAAATTCGGTATATGCGGATCGCGAACGTGATCGAGATCGAGATCCTTCGCATTCGCATAATACGAGCGCTTCACAGCATAACTCAAGTGTTGGTTCGATTAATTTAGAAGATTATATATCAGCAATGGAGGCTCGTAACACGGCAATAGATCGTTCACACGAAACAGATGTTTGGGCTCAGTTACAACAAAAGGAATCAGATATATTGTTAGCGGCTGAGCTTGGCAAAGCGTTGCTAGAGAAAAATGAAGAACTAGTAAAACAACAAGAGAAACTGATTGGAGATTATTCATCTAAAATAGAGGTGAGTCATATCAACAGAGAAGTTTTTTTATATATTTTAATATTTTTAAAAGTTACTTGTATTCGAGGGCAACAACAAAAGTATTTTTAGTCGTCGAGTTTCTCATTTTTTTTATTAAATATTTTACGCTATAGACTTTTAAAGCTATTTTATATTATATATTCTGTACATGTATTTAAATTTAAATATTTATACAAAATACTAGTATTAATGAAACCATATTATAATCCATTCTATAAATAATTATAGAATACATAAGTATAGCAAATTTTAGTTTATCACAACATAATTTAATATTTAATATAATTTAATATCTCTAAATACTCTAATGGCACGAAAACCCATTATCGTGTCCAGGAAGTGAGTTGGAAGCCCAAGAAATATAAAACCTGACGGAATCATAGTTTCTAATGCAATAAGACAGCAGGAAGTCTATAATTATATTATTCCATATAAAGGTTTTTCAATCAGTAGTGAACTACAACAACAAAAATCCTTTTTTTTATATATTATTTTAATTAATTAAATTTTTGGCTGACCATACAACTGTTTCAAGTATTGCCAAATACCCATCATCAGTGGTTTTGGAAATAATTCATGTATTTAATTATTCGTAAATAATTTTTTGAGACTACAAGTACCAGGAATCGAACTCGTGTCCTACCAAATTTAAAGCTCAAAGTCAGCGCTCCTATGTTTGCACATTTTTCTGGAGTTTTATAAATTTGCTGTGAAAGTTTTATTAACAAATTCACTTGCTGTGTATATATAATTATTTTTAATTGTTGAATTTCAATAATATTCTGTTTGTTATTTCCTAACAATCATTATATTATTCCCTAAAAATAGAAAGTGAAGATTATTGTATTAAAACGAGAAATCTGGTTGTAATTGTGGCATAGATCTGCCACAAATTCATATGCCCATATCTTAGTCATCATTCGTTATAGTGGGTCCGCTTTTCATTATCAAATATTACCTCGCAAACACTTTTTCTGAGTTCACTGCACCACGTTTTCCTCTGTAACTACTACATCCATGTAAAGAATGATATTACTTAAATCGACGACAACATTATATATACAAGATTCAATTATTTAAAACAATTTGCATTTCTGCCTGTTACTATTTTACGCTCATATTTAAGTAAATATGTTACTCTTAAATATATATGTTATAATTTTTGTTGAAAAACTTGTTAATTTTTTCCATTTCATAATGTTGTTTTTATTATAGCCCTTGATCGTTGGAACTGAAAATGACAGCAATTAGCGGCGATAATTATCATAGAGTAACTGCTGCCGTACATAATTCTAGCCGATCTTGAAGTCTGATACCATTATTGATTACTTTAATAGAGTCGTTCTATAGTAATCGTGAAATACATCCAGATATTAAAGTATTTTGATACTTATGTCAATCAAAATAAGCATCAAAATATTCCATATACTATTATAATTTCTTTAATTATCAGAACAAAAAAGGTTTTTAGGTAGGATATAGAATAAAACACGTAAAACATTGATTTGAACATTTTTTCAATGCTGCATTTAAGTTTTTGTTGCCATAATTTCATTCATAATTTCTTTTATTTGGTCATTAGGTCAGAAAATATATATACAAATATGGAATATAGTCTTATGCTATATAAATTTGTTACAAAGAAAAAATTGTCAAATTTTTTTATATATGTTATATTTTCCTATACCTCGCGTTGTTAAATTTCAATTTTACGTGACAATTTAGAAGTATTAGATTTTACTTATAGTTCTCAGCGTAGCAAAAGAGAAGCATATGTGCAGTGGTCGCAGTATAACCGAAGTAATATATTTGAAAAGAATAAATGACACCCATGGCCTAATGGTCTTCTATTCGATATAAACGGTATGGTCATATGAATATGTAGCCTGGCTGAATTCAAGACTCCTGATTTTAAAGCCTTTCCTTAATGACTTTTCTAGTTTTTTTTTTAGTTAACAACGATATTATTGAGTATTTCATTTAAATAAACATTTTTATACTAGTACATATAGATATAAAGACATTATATAATTGTATCAAGTATGTAAAAGATAAAGACAAACAAATTAATTCTATTTTAATAAATATAAAATGGAGTGTACATCGAATATATTCACTACTGACATCTCAACAAATCATTCGACTGTTTTCGTCTTCATCGAATGTATGTATGACACCTTTAAACGAAACAACTTTAAAAATATTTTTCTAAAAGATTGTAAATTGATAGAGTTAACATATGCTACATTTTATTGTACCTATATATGCGCATCACTATTAAAAATCATCAGAACTACTGCAGGTCTATATGCATATGTTTTCTGAGATTCCAAAGTTCAAGTGGTACTTCTGTTTTTTTTTCTAAAACTAAAATAATTTTAAAGTCTGTACTCAATCTTTGTACATATATATATATCAATCAGTGCAGAATCAAGAAATAACTTTGAATATATTATAATATTGACTCTTATTTCTTATTGTTGTTATTCTTCTTATATATTTTCTATAAGATTCCAAAGTTCAATGGGTACTTCTGTTTTTTTAATTTTAAAGTCTGTACTCAGCCTTTGTACATATATCAATCAGAAGAGAATCAAGAAATAAGATTGGATATATTATAATATTCATTATAATATCTTATTGTTCTTATTCTTCCTATATATTTTCTATAAGATTCCAAAGTTTACGTGGTACTTCTGTTTTTTTAAAGTCTGTACTCAACCTTTGTACACATATCAATCAGAAGAGAATCAAGAAATAAGATTGGATATATTATAATATTCCCTCTTATTTCTTATTGAATATGATTGTTTAATAAGCTTTTTTTATAAAAATATCCAAAACAAAAAATTAAAAACATTTTTTTAGATCTAGAAGTTTAACTTTGACGGATATTTGAGTAGTGTTTATAGTATATTGTTTCTGACACTAATACTTAAAAATCAGCTAAGACTAAGTATTACTAATCTGCTTATAAAGTATTGTTTAATACCTTTGATATGTACGCTTGACTCATTTTGACTACATTGAAAACATAATAAACTTTAATGCTGTCTAAAGTTGAATAATACCTAAATCTTTTATTATAATATCCATTTATATATTTATTTATGGATGAGATTTATAACAAAAACCTATTCAAGTAAAATTATTTTTTAGTGTTTTAAAAATATAAAAAGCGAATAAAAATTATTTTTACAAATATTTAAAAAATATTAAGATATTTATTAAATATTAAGATAAATTAATTTAAAATTATTTTATGAAAATATTACACAAATATTATTTGTTATTAATATTAAATATTTATTATTTTAAAAATTGAAAAAATAGCTCTGAATACACAAATGCCTTGCAAAACTTGCAAACCTGATAATGTATACTATATACATGTATATGATATATTAGTATAATATATAAGTACTTGTTAAAAAAAACTATTTATGAGTTAATGATATTTTTTTTTATTATTTTAATAATATAAGAAATATATCGGTTGTACAAATACATAATCGAATGCAGAATGAATACTGTGTATGTTAGGTTAATGTACAATTATTTGAGAAATATATTATTGAAAAAATGTTAATTACTGTCTATTTACTAGATAATTGAAGTTTATCACATGTTTTATTTTATAAATTTATTTAAACACGTATACGTCATTATTAGTTTTGAATTGCATTTTTTAATTAAATCTTTAATGGATGAATAACAAAGTTATTATTTAACCAAAATACCAAAAACCTGAATCTCTATTAGATATTTGAATAATAGTTTTTTAACAAAATTTGCATTATATATAAGAAACATATATGAAACATATAAGAAACATATATTTTATATATGTATATAAACATTGTATATATACACAATATTCGTTACTATCTCTAATGATATATTTGAAAATGTAAAGGACTTTCTGGTTCATAAAATAACAATACATAAATAATAGAAATAATGGATATAGGTGGTATGAACAGCATCTTCTCATAGATTCCATTCAAAATGTTTAGCACACTAATACTTAATATCAGATTTTTGATAACTAATCTAGTTCAATTATATAGTTTAGGTAGTTAAATGATGCGCAAAAGATTAATAGGACCTCCAGCTTTTAGTAATATTTTGTACAATGAAAGCTCAGAAACACCTAATAAATTTAAAAATTCGATTGCATAATTTTTCAACTTAATCTGCATTGATAACAGTATTGAGTATATATATAGAACATTCCAAAGAGAGATACATCACCTGACGGGTTTTTAATAATGTATGCCTTTGGCGGCTTATATCATGTTTACATTGCAGCTAAAACTATTTATGTTAATGAAATTAAAATTTGGTCGTTTTCATTGGCATAAACTAATTTATGCATGTAAAATGGCTTGTTTGTTTACATTTTATATATAAAACATATGACTAATATTTGAAATTTTGGAAATTTCTTTTGTGAGAAATTTATTTTACGGGTTCCATTTGAACATTTTTCGTCTTAAATCAGTTGATTTATTTATAATGAGCTCATTTTTATGAAAGCTCTTTGTACGGTAAATTATCCTCATTAGTGGTTTTACAGAATAAAAATGCCTAAATGCGACTAGTGGACACATTGTATAATTGAGACAAGTGAAAATATGGTATTTGGAGTTTATTTGGTACGAATAAGAATAATTGAAATTGCATATATATATATTAATAGATAGAGGTTCAATATTATGGACAAATATAATGCATATCTAAAATTCATTTTATAGTATGAAATTCGACAAAAAAGAAAAGTTCATTGAACTATGAAATTTTCATGATTTTTAAACATTCTCCAAATTAAAACAAAACCAACGAATAACCCTTCTATTTTCATTTGAATGTATTAAATTGTAATATAAATGTATATAATGGAAAGTTATTGAAATAAACTATAATTTTCTGATGGTCTACCATGAACCAATGTTGTTGACACTCCTTGAACCAGCAAA